ATATAGTCCTAAAAGTGATTATAGAGACATCTGAGCTCTAACGCATCTCATCTCCTCTTCTGGTTGAGCTGCAGGTCAGAGAGACCTTGGCTGCAGAGACTGGGCTGAGCGTTCGTGTGGTCCAGGTCTGGTTCCAGAACCAGAGGGCTAAGGTCAGTAAAGGGGACCACACTAGTCCTTTTGATCCCACTACAAGCAACTGATGTTTGCAGTTTCATTTGAACAAATTTAGTTTAAAGGTTGTTGGTCTCCTAAATCTTCTAAAACATCTTTCTAACTTGCAGTTCCTTCTTTACGTCTTTAGCCAAAATATTTAAAGCAGCTCATTATCTGTCAGGCTCAGAGGATCAACCATTTTTAATCCGTTGTTTGAGCTGCTTTCTGGTGTTTAGAGGAATAAGCTCTCCAAAGTCTGGCCATCCAGGCATGCTACCAGTTAGCTCTTACCCATCATGTGTGAGCTGCAGGTCTGCTCCTCCAGACGTCATTTAAGAAGAATAGAAACACAAAGGAAAAGCCTTTCAGAGCTTCCAAGACTGGAGCTTTCTCTTAAACCCAGATGAGAAAAGAGAATGGTTCCTTTAGCGGTCAAAGGTAATCTGGTGAGGAAGATCTCCGACGTCATGTTGAAGGTCAGACACTAGAGCTAAAGAACCTGTACTTCAGGAACCTGGTTTAAGGCTGTTTAAAGACTTCATGTAACTTAACTTAACTTGCATTTTGAACCTGAATCAGGATGAATATGGAGCTGTGAGGTCTTTAAGAACAGATGGAGACAGCATAGAAATTTGTGTTTAAGGAAAATAGCATCGTTATAAAAATTTCATGTCAGAGATAATCTAAAATGTCTACACATTTTTTGTAAGGGCAATATTTGGACATCCTGGTAATTTAGAACCACAATCATCTAGAATTTAAACCAGATTTAAGTAGTTAATGAACTGGTGAAAGGCCCTTTTCAGAGTATGGTGGCATCATTCAAACAATGTTCAAGGGATGGCGAGTATTTTCCCTGGCAATAGGGGCAGTACAAACCTAAATCATTGCAAGCAAGCATTTTTTTTTGTTGTTTTGTTTTGTTTTGTTTTTTCTTCGAAAAAGACCTAACCAACGGATGGCCGTTGGGGTCAAAAATCCCTTGGTGCTCAATTTTTGAACAAGTACTTTGTGAGATTGTTCAGCCTCCAGCAAAATGACAATCACATCAGACGCCGTTTCATCACTGACAATGAGTGGAGAGGTAAATGTGCAAAATAACATTTAGAAATGCATTTTGTCCTCACAGGCTCATGTAAAACCAAAACATGCCGTTGCCCAGAGACTTAGACCCGCTCCCATGTATTTTAGACCTGATTTTTAAGATTATATGTTAGAAAGTCGCCAATATTTTTCAACAACTGGACATCATTTAGGTAATTTCAATAGCTTTGTAGATAGATTAATCTTAAAAATTACACATGGTCTCTTTGAAGTCTTCTTGGTCAATTAAAACTCATGTCTCCCTGGTCTGAGGATGACTCTGAACCAGAATGGGTGGATCTATGTGTGTGTGTGTTTCTAAGCTTACGGATATTATCTTGTCCCATGAGATCATGACACACCCCCAAGCCTGTATACAAGGTCCGATCACAACAAGAACAAAGAAAAAAACTCCAAAATAAATATCATGAATATAAAAATGTAATGTCTGAAATCCTGAAATTAACATTTTTGTTATGTTTTATGTATGTGATTCTTCTATCTGTGTATTAAACATGTATTCATAAAGCTTTGGTTTGGATTTAGACACACGGGTGTTTCTAAAACACTTCATGCTTTTGTGATTGTTTATCTTTCAGACTAAACTGGTAATGTGTTTATTTACAGATAAAGAAGTTAGCTCGCAGACAGCAGCAGCAGCAGGAGCATCACAGTCAGCGGCTCAGCCCAGGTGTGTGTGTGTGTGTGTGTGTGTGTGTGTGTGTGTGTGTGTGTGTGTGTGTGTGTGTGTGTGTGTGTGTGTGTGTGTGTGTGTGTGTGTGTGTGTGTGTGTGTGTGTGTGTGCAAAATGACAAAACAGACATTTATAAGCTTCTCCAACCTGGAATTACATTGAAATGACATTGATTAGTGAGAGTTGAGTAATTGATGAACAATTTCAAGAAACAGCTTGAAATATTACATTTATTATGGGAACAATAAGCAGCATGCAGTCGCTCAGCAAACACTCCCAGTTTTGTCAGCTTTGCGGTGAATCCTGCGTTCTGGAGCCAGCGAAGCCTCTCTGCTGGTAAATGTGCGTTTTTCTGAAGGCTGAGCTGTAAAGTGGGAGCTGAGATTCTTGTCCAGCGCTGAGACTGGACGGCTTACTGCCTCGATGATCTCACAGCGGATATGAGCAGACAGTTTATCTGCCTGAGCCTGTATCTGCTCAGGGACTTCCAGAGAGTCAATATTGGCAGAGCATCGGGGCTTATTATAGAGGAAGCTCCTGCTGATAACCAAATGAGCAAAGCAGCCATGTGATTGTTTGAATTTGATGTTAGATCAAGTTGGAGCCTCGTGGACGATTCAAAGATTAGACAGACTTTTCGTTTACATATCTAGTATACGTTTTCTATAGAAAACTGTTTGCAAAAACATTAACACACGTCACTCACCAGATTTGTATCTATAGAGACACATATGAGAGCAGCTTCATAAATATAAAACACTGGAATTTTCAGCTGAGCAGGCACAGAAATGACTGGAAACACAAGTGGGTGAAAATGAGTGGGATTTCCTCACAAAAGCAAACAGGCTGTGATGCTTTTAAACCCTCTCTGACATGTTGCCTATCACTTCTTCAGAGATGTTGTCTGGTTGTGTGGAAGACCTCCTCAACTCTTACTCGAGGTGGCTACCTGCAGGCCACCAGCAACCGGGGACCTTGCAGCATGGTGGCTACAATACAGACCCCTTCCAACCAGGCCTCACCCCACCACAGATGCCTGGAGACCACATGAACCCCTATGGTAGGCATCACACCTATCTGGATCTGTTCAACAATTACAACATTCATATTGGTGAACAATCTGCATTTTTCTGGGTTTTCTCAAAATGTCAGGACCTACCCTGCAAACAGTCAACGTTGCATGGACGTGCAGATCGTGTCTATATTGAATCTGTCGGTCCAGACCACGTCTGCAGGACGTCCAAACTAGGTCTTTGCACAGTGGGTACTGTCTCAAGCTTAAAATCAACAACCTCTTGTATGAATTAGAAAAATTGCCAACAGGAGTCACCGGTCTTTGTCTCTCGGACATGTTTGTAGTCTGATTAACTGATCATATTCTTCAGGCTTTGTGAATAAATAGAACTCATCAACATAACTATTTATCAAGTAATGACTTATAATTTTACCCAGTAGGAGCACATAAAGTAAGGATTGGACCCTGACAAACTCTGGCACTAAAAGGAAGATTCAGTGTTAAAGGTTGAATATGGAACAACTGAATAAAAAGTTATATTTTTAAAAACAAATAATACCTTCACAGGGTGTTTAGAAGTGTGCAGAATGAAGTACAGTATTTGCTTTAACTCCTTCGCTGCCAGCGTTTCTCACCGTTTTTACTGTTTTTTAAGAGTCACAGAACGTTGCGTGCTAGGATGATGTCGACGCCAAAACTACCAAAACAAAGCGGAGACTCACCTCTTACATCAGTAAGAATCCACACGTTTCGAGCGTTATCCGTTCTTTCATAATCCGTTGTTGAATTGTGATCGGCAGAAGCTTTTCCGGTTTGCGTCTCACTTTTTTTACAGCAGCGGCCCAAAACAATCTCCTAACACATGGATTTTCTGCTTCCTGATCACGTGACGTGTGGCGGATGCAGATGGAGATCGGCTTTAGAGCTGAGATGTTTGTTCTCACAGTGCGAGGGCTCGTTCCAACGCCCACACAGTAAAAAAACGCTAATGTAAATTGGCAGCGAACGGTTGGATTTCAAATGATGACTTTAGTCTTCAATGGCAGTGAATGAGTTAAAAGTTATATTTAATAAAAAATAATCAAATTTTTATTTTGACAAGCACAACACTGGGTTTATGTTTCCATCTACCAGCCAGTAGAGGGCACCGTTACAGGTTACCAAACAGTCCGCTCAACACAGCGAGGCTGACACTGTGGAAAACGGAGGACTCGGTAAGTCAAGCAGCTGCTTCTGAGCCCAGAAGATGTCGTTGTCCTTCTCAGAAGAGAAGCGACCACAAATTGTCTAAAACCAGAGTGAGCTTAGGTGAAGCCTAAAAACCTAAAAGACAGTCTACCCAGATGTGAACACCTTATACGCTATACCATACCGGGGCGGGGCGAGCCAGCCCTGATGTGAAAGTGGCAGAAAATGAACCAACAGATACTAAATAAGCTATGAAGTAAAAAAGATCCACTCTGTTTTACTAGTATTACTTACTTACATGTCCAGTAGTAACAAAGTCAGGTCCCCATCAGTCCGTGATTTCATAGCCTCCTTTAGTTCCCTCACAAGTGGAGTCCGCACTGATGTTCACTCTAGTTGAGGCTCCACAATGGTGCCAACATCCATCCATCAATCCATCCATTTTCTTTACCCGCTTATCCTCGCAGGGTCGCGAAAAATGGTGCCAACAACAAAGCAAAATTCTCCTTCTTCTTGTGTTTTTTATTGACAGTCTACAAACTGAAAAGGCTAACTGCTAGCTTTTATATGAGCTACTGGCACAGGTAACAGCTATTTCCATGAAGCAGGTAGAGACTTCCTGCTAGTGCACCTGCCTGGACCACAAAACTGTTAAGTGCAGTTTCTGGCCAGCGGAGGGCTACAGACTGCTGTCCAAGGTGAACTTGGTCAAGTTTACAGCTCAAGAATCACTGAAACCAGTTTGAAAGCTAAAACTTGAAGTTTTAAGGTCTCTTTAGTGTTGTTTTTAAGCAGTGGTACACAATAGGCAGCCGGACCTGGCCTGTGAGCCCCTTTATTGTGGCCCCCGGTCCACCAAGACAGCACACCAGCAGTAAAACTCTATATCTGGTTTTCTGATCAGCGTCTCAGTGACTGACAGACCTTTAATAATTAGTGGAAGATTCAATCTAGCATTTGTCAATTTGATGTTTATAAAAACATACCAGGGTCTGACTCAACTCAACATAATCGGGTAAACAGGAAATCTGGTGTCATAGTTCAGCCCTCAGATGAGTGGTGACTGTAGGAAAAGGTGAGAGTAGCAGACAAATGCCAGGGCAAAAGGGGAAACTAATAACAGGTAATCAGAATAGACAATGCACACTGGAAATATCCTGAATTCAAAGACGGTGGGATTTTACCACCCACCACCACACACACAGGGAACCCCAGACCTCTACAACCACCAACACACACACAGGGAACCCTAGACCTCTACAACCAGCACCACAAAGCAGCAAACAACAGGCCCATTCTTAACAAAGGACCCAGACACACATGGTGCGACCTGCTCAGATTAAACCACAGCCACACCCCGTCACTTGGAGAACAGCGGTCCAATCAGAGAGCACTCTAATGGGAGGAGGAGGGAGAAGACAGCCAATCACAGACAAGGATCCACACAGCTGGGCCAGCAAATCAGCAACCTAGGCTACGCAGAACAAAATGTCCACCTGGAGAAATACAGTTACAATAAATTTTACTTTAAAAGATCCAAAACAAGGAAACATCACATACCACAGAAACATAAAACACATCATGAGACTGACATTGCACTTCAGGTAAAAGTAAAAGATGTGTCTTCAGAACAAATCCAATAGATGGAACAACGCTTAAGACCTGATCCCCTCTGGTCATCAAAACGCTTTGAGACAATAAAGGTATTCTCTATTCTTGCAAGTTATTCTAGTCTGTAGTTTAGAACTCCACTGAATCAATGACATCCAGCTGATCTAGGTGATCTCCCAGGGTTTTATACATGCAAGAAGGAGAATTTGTTCATAAAAATTAAGATTAAAAATATTTGAATCAAAATTAAAAAATAAACATTGGAGCACAGAAATTACAGAATGGACAGAAACAGCAGCATGAAAATAAGCCAGTGAAGAAGGGAATCAACAGGTCTCACGCAAAAGCCAGCCTGAACAGGTGAGTTTTCAGCTGCTGACCACTGAGTCCACTGATCTCAGGCTCGGGGGGATAGAGTTCCTGAGTCTGGGGGTCGCAGCAGCAAATCATCAATATTCTATACTTAAAGTGTCACACACTACTCAGCAATGAATCCAAAACACATTCAAAGGGTCCCGAGCCTTTAAGTGGACTCTTAGCCTAAACTGAATAATGAAATACACGGACTTATGTGGGCTTCACAGTGGAGCCGTGGTCAGAGGTGTTGCTGTGGTGCAGGAAGGATCTGGTTTTAATCCTGGCCTGGGGTCTTTCATCATGGAGGTTACATTTTCTCACTGTGCACATGTGGGTTCTCTCTGGGTACTCCAGCTTCCTGCCACGGTCCAAAAACGTGACTGTTAGGGTTATTGACCTCTATAAATTGTTCCGGGGTGTGTGTGTGTGTGTGTGTGTGTGTGTGTGTGTGTGTGTGTGTGTGTGTGTGTGTGTGTGTGTGTGTGTGTGTGTGTGTGTGTGTGTGTTGTCCTGGACTGGCAATCCAGGGTGCAGTTAGCCTGTTTGCCTGAAGCCTGCTGGAGATAGGCCCCTGCTCCCCATGACCATGCACGGATAAGCAGGCGTAGATGATGGATGGATGGACTTTTGCACAATGTTCTAATTAGTCATCATTTATTTTATCATTTGCCATTTATTGGAGTTTCACCTGTAATCTGATCAGCTCAGATATTTAGCTCTTTAGAGCTTATTCTGTTATTATACTATTAATATATGTTACATGATTCTGTTATTTTGTGAAACATCTGATTTCGTTTATTTTCTCCTTTGGCTTTCTGTTTAATTCTGGCCGTGTTTTATTTTCCTGCTGTTCCCTCTACCCTTGTCAGGATTGGATCCCATCATCCATGACATCGACAGTGATGCCTCTCTGACTAGTTTCAGCGACTGCTTCATGCCGACTCCACTTGGGAACCCCATTGACCGCCTTTATTCCATGCAAAGCTCCTACTTTACTTAATGAGACACCATCATCCTTAACCTCATCATCACCATCATCTTCATCATCACCACCACCATCATCGTCCTCATCTTCATCTCTACCATAATCTTCATCATCATCATCATCATCATCATCATCATCATCTCCACCGTCGTCATCATCATCATCATTACCCACCCCTACTACCACCACCATAATCATCATCGTCCTCCTCTTCATCTCTACCATAATCTTCATATCATCATCATCATCATCATCATCTCCACCGTCGTCATCATCATCATCATCATCATCTTCATCATCATCATCACTAACCCCTACTACCATCATCATCATCATCATCATCACTAACCCCTACTACCATCATCATCATCATCATCATCACTAACCCCTATTACCATCATCATCATCATCATCATCATCAACCCCTACTACCATCATCATCATCACTGACCCCTACTACCACCATCATCATTATCGTCTTCATCTTCATCTCTACCATCATCATCATCTCCACCGTCATTGTAATCATCATCATCACCAACCCCTACCACCACCATCATCATCATTTTGTCCTTTCACAGACCCTGGAACTGAAACTCTAAGAAGACTAAAGGGCACTGTGTCATGTCAGCATGAACCGTAACACCTGCCAGACTTCAAAGACCCTCTAAAGCCCATTTGAAATGAAACTTAAGAGTTTTGCTGTAGCAGACTAGCGAGCTGAAAGCAGCAAATGAGAGAGTCTCCCTGCAGAGCCCACTGAGCTGATAGATTTGTTAACAACATTATTTAAATGCAAACTATTACCACATCACTTATGTAGAAGAAAGAAGGGGGCTGGAGCACTGAGCACAGAGTTGACTCAGACAACAACACCTATGTTGAAGCGTTGGTTTATCGATTTTGCACCTACATAACTGTTGAGCACGTTACTCAGTTGGCGGTAGCTCACAGTGCCTGCCGTGTGTTCCCACATCACATTACCTTTTAGGCAGATTGGTATCAATACTTCTGTAAGTCAGAAACATGAACCAGAAATAGCTTTGAAGATGTTAAACTACTAAGTGTGAGGATGAAGAAGAAACCAGCCTGTAAGCCTGCAAACTGAAAACTGTATTTAAATGTTTATATTAGGCTATCATTGATATCTTTTTGAGAACAATCCAGTTTGTGTGTTTGGATGAGCATCAATTATTTATTTCTTACCACTTTTATTAGTGCATGTAAAATAAATCAAAATATTTCTATTTAAACATGTTAAGATCCTAATGTAAAGCAAAAACCTCGCTGCCTTCTGTTTTATTGTTTGTGAAATTAGCTTTGCTATTTATTTTTTAATTCAGGGGATGCATTTCAAATGTTCCAACTTAACTAATCTGCTGATACTGTTAATAAATTATGCTTTCTCTGGTATTTCTTTCTTGCTTTTAATCAATGAGCAAATGAAAAGGCACCTGTGGACTCACCACCTGCAGAAGGAGCATGAAGGGACTGGTGCACTGTGTATGGGTGGCAAACCAGAGCAGAGGCTTTGATGGTCCAATTCCTGCAAAACTAGAACTGCCATTTGGGACATAGAACATCTCCTCTCCTGTAGGGAAGGAGCCTGAGCTTCAGAATCAGAATCAGCTTTATTTTTGCTGGGAACCTGTTCTCCCCCAGAGAGAGCAGCCGACTTCAGAGGCACTCATCCACTGTTGAATCACAGGTGGGAGGGAGATCGAGGGAGAGTGAAGAGTACATTGACTCCTTCAGTTGATGTCCTCACCAGGCTAAGTCCACCAATCTGAAGGGGGGGGGGGGGGGGGGGGGGGGGTTCACAGCATCTGTCTGCATTACTTCGTGGGGGATTTGTCTTCTCGCAGCTCGGGGCTACCAGGGTGCCAAATTCAGATAGGAAGAATTGTTTGGGTCAGGCAGAGATAATTTCCTCTCTGCTTTTCAGTCTTTAAATGATCATTCCAGTCCCTCATTGAATGCAATTTTGGGTGTAAAATTGCCTATACTGTATATTGACTTTCTCCAAGATCACATCCATTTTGCGTACTAATACCAGTATCGTAGCTAGAGCCTCTAGCTTACGATTCACCTCGAGTAACGTCCCAGTCTGAGCAGTTTCCACACGGAGACTTTCCTTCAGTACGGGTTGCCCTTCAATCACTCTGTCTTCCCAATTTTCCAAAATACCAATCCTCCCACTCCAAACAGAAGAAATCCAGTAATCATCAGCCCAAAAATACACACGTCTTTGATGTCCTCCACGGACAGCTGGGAGAGGCAAATAATATTCCACTCATTCCAGGAATCCAATATATACCCCATCAGGTGCGTCCCCTGTGGACAGGCAGGAGCCCCCTGCTCCGGTCTCATTGTTGAAAAACAAAGCTTGTGGGGGACACTGAGCAGTGCCAGCCAGAAATAGTCAGACTCACCTGAAACCCAAGTCTTTGAGAAGGGTCAGACTATTCATTACAGGAGTTCTGGTGAGAGACGAAGGTCCAGAATGGGTTTTAATTTTAATCCAGACTCTCTGCCCTGGGTTTACTCCAGGAAACTAAAGAATAGCTTCCGTGTTCCTTTGGTTCGGAGTACCTAGTTTGATGTTTGGCCAATACGGACACCATGTAAAGATGGCCACAAGGATAGTCTAGATCACAGATCAGTAATCAGCTTTCATCTGAACTACAGCTGTCTGTTTTGCACATCTGGGTAAAAATTGAATGGAGCTCTGAACTGATGTTAGACAGACACCAGGGGAAGAAGTCTGGTAGTCCCAAAGATATCATGAGTGTCCATTGGGAGTTACTTGAACTCCCACTTCCAGTAGATCTTTGACTGTGTGCTGAGGACAGAAGGTGGATGTTTCCAGCTGCAGCCACAAGGTTGCTTGCACCTTCTGCTGTGGTAATCCTTGGACCTGCTGGAAGACACCAGAGACTATGGGAGTCATCAGACGTTACTTAAGGGTGATCATGACCTCACAGAGTGGTTGAACTCACAACTGACCAACTGATTGATTGTTCACATTCATCCTGGGCTGTTTTAACTCAGAAATAAGTGTTTTATTTTCTCTGAACCCCGGCAGGAGGATCCCTCACCAACTAAGGCCCTCACACGTGTACACAAATGTTAAAAAGACTTAACTAGACAAAAAGTTTTACAAACACTGAGTTTCAATTGACTTGAACCTAGTTCACAGAAGTCAAGGAGATAAAAAGCACATTAAATGTCCATCTGGTCCACAAGAGTCACTTACCGGTACATCTAATTGATGGCTTTACCTGGATTTTTGTATAAGCAGCAATATTTATTCAACATGCACCACCCCTTTCCTTGTCTTTGTATAAGCTGTGAATGAACACAAGTGTAATAACTTGATTTGTTCCACTCCATCAAACTGCTGGGTGAAGAACAAACAACTGATCATAAAACTGTAATGAGTATACACGGCAGCAGAACACGACTGCATGTGGTTCGAGTGCAGCCAAGTGGAAGATCCAGACTGAGACAGATGTCGGAGGCATCGTACAGGATGAAGACTTCCTCTCAACCACGCCCAGCGTCAGAGTTACAGGGAAACAGATTTCAGGTGATGTGCAGTTGTTTGTTCTCAAAAATCAAAACAAAAAGTATTTTATCAAGTGTTTCAGATATTACCTGACTGGCCAGACCACTTTTTGATTCAACATATTTTTCTCAAGAACAGCCGCTTTAGGCCCTGCATGCCCATGATAACTGATACTGTCCAGGTCAGGGGTCACCAGCCGGGCACTGAGTCGCCCTCAGCAACCCTATAAGGTGCCCTCAGTCCTGTTCTTAAAATGGCCAAATTCACCACTCAGCAAAGTATAAAATATTATTTTCTGTTGCTATTTTTTTTAAATCCCACTTTATTTCATTAAACACATGGCTTACAGAATTGTGGGAGCCAGAGGAATTAAGCTAATGAGTTATACAAAGAAGCTCAGGGAAAGAGTGGTAGAAGCTACAGCGTTAGGTCAGAAGTGAGTCTTTGTGAGCAGCAGTATGGTTTGATGCCAAGAAAGAGTCCTACACATGTTATTTTTGCTTTAAAGGTGCATGAGGAGGTCTGGGGTGGCATAAAAGAATATTAGAGTGGTGCAAAACATGAATGAGAGCTGTAAGAAAGCCATGCGGTGTGTTGTAGGAGTGACAGAGAAGTTCAAGGTGGAGGTGAGACTGCTTCAAGGATCGTCTCTATGTACCTTCTTGTTTGTGTTGGTGATGAACAGACTGGCAGATTATGTTAGACAGGAGTTTCCATGGACTATGAAGGTTAGCAGACGACATTGTGATCTTCAGTGAGAGCAGGGTGGAAAAGCTAGAGAGGTGGAGATGTGTACTGGAGAAGAGAGGAATGAAGATTAGTCACAGCTAGACTAACTACGTGTGTGCAAATAAGACACAAGGTGGAACAATGATGTTGCAGCCAGTAGAAGTAAAGAAGGTAGAGGACTTTATTACTCAGGGTTTGTGGTCCAAAGCAACAGAGAGTGTGGAAAAGAGGTGAAGAAGTGTGTCCACGCAAGATGGAATGAGTGGAAAAAAGTGTCAGATATGATGTGTGACAAAAGGATTTCAGCAAGAATGAAAGGAAAGGTGTTCATTACCGTAGTGAGACCAGTGATGTATGGTTTAGAGACAGTGATTCATGAGGAAAAGGTAGCCCTACATATGGCTCAGTAATCACGAAGTATAGCTGTTAGCCTCACAAAGTTGTATTTCCTGCTAAGCTCATCAACGTGTCGACGAACTGTGTGAATCTCAACCGAGTTGACTGTGGAGAATGCGAAGTTTAAAAGATTGCCAATTGCATTACCAATTGAGAAAAGTCCGTCCAGGAAACGCTTTGGTCTTCTGCTGGTACCGGAAAGTTCACTGATAGAAACTGTGTACTTAAGTGCCTGCTTAAGAATGTGACTGACATCAGCTACTGCATGCTGTGTCATGGTACGAGTCCAGTGTTCCCCCGTTTTTGCGAGGTTGCCAAAGGCATTCTTCATCTTATCAGTACACGCCATAGCGGGGTCG